ATTTGGAAGTTGATGTCTCCTAAAAAATAGTTAGTACTGGGGTGACTAGGTAAAATTTTAAAATGTATTGGGTTGAAATAGACCAAAACTTAGTACATGAGCTTAGCAGAAAAAAACTAATTAGTACTCGAGCTGATAAGACATTTATGCTGTTATAAAAGATAAATTAAGAACGCTGATATTCCCATCATCCATTTAGCTAAATTAATTTAATTAATCCTGACTATGTATTAATTGTTAGGTAACAACTTTTATTTCACTAAGTAAGCAAAAAGTGTCTGACAACTAATCTTTATTGTAATGCTCTACTTACAGAAGCAAAAAAAAAAAAAAGATTAATAAGTTCTAATATGGAATATCTTTAAAAGTATAATCTTAACAAGTCAAATTAAAAGTAAAAATTATATATAATTTGAAACGATAATATAATCACAAGGATTTTTATAGATCTTATTTTTGTTCAAATATGAGCTCTTCCTAATCTTTTAATTCTAAACAAGAATAAAAAATTTTCGAGTAGAGTAAGAGAGATTGTTTACCGATGATGTTGCCAGATCATCCATGAGCCGAAAAATAATTGATGACAAACGAATAATTTTTGGATAGTGAACTATGGATTGTGATTCTCCCTTTGTAATTGGTTTCATGAGAATGTGAATATGCATTAGTATAAGAGGTCCAGAAATAGACACCCATGCATTTTCAAGATATTCTTCTAAAGATGGTATGTACTGCTCGTAGAACCACCTTGCTTCCAGTGATTCTGATTCACAATAATCTGCCCACTAGAAAATTCAAACTTTACATCTACTAAGATAGAAGACAAACTGAAACATATCTATAAAAGTTTCTACGTATAAACAATCATTCAAAAAATTTCTTCTTGGGTATGATAAGGAATTTAGGATTCATGAACATATATTCATTTTTTGGCATAAAAATTAAATATGTGATATCTTGGAGTGGATAAAACCACTTATTCCACCTTATGCCAATTGAAGGCTAAAGAGAATTAGATATTAAATTCAGTTCAATTTTCAGATACTTACCAACTGCTTTAGTTGTGGAACAATATTAATTTCTTGTTCTTTGAGGTTATTGAATACTATTTCGTTGATAGTATTATATAAACCAACAAAACATATCTTCATATAATCTGGAAGTTGCCCAATTGCATTGATATCCCATCTACAATAGCAAGTGATATAATTTAGCCATCGTAGAAAAAACATAATATAAAAATATAAAGTAATAATCCTAACCTATTCACGATCTGTGTGAAGAGTTTGATTTCATCCAAAGTACCGTATACGTCATAAATGTCATCAAGTATTGTTATAAGTGAGCTGACTTTTGTCATTATCTCTCTGTAGTAACCAAACTGAGGCTCATACATGATACCGATAGTGAAAAAAAAAATCTCCATCAATCTATCTCTTGAAAAGTGTAACTTTTTTATGGAAGTTCATATTCATCCACCATCTTCATATGTGATAAATGCAAAAAAATATCAATTAGATGTGCTTTTAATAGCTAGCAAATTAAATTTTGGAACCATGAGCCTAGCTTGTTGTTTTCCTTTAAAAAACAATAATTATGTCCTCACCTTGATCCATGCTTTAGTTCCTCTTGGTGCGTAGCTTGTACAATATTAAAATCTAATTTAGCAAGCTCGAGCACAATAGAGTTCATGTTTAATTTTTTCTTATAAGCATCAATAAACCATCTTGCTTCTACTCTTTGGATCCTCCATTGCAAAGGAAGCTCTAATGCATGTTCCACTAACATTCTAAGATACTCATTAATGTTATTCTCCTTTTTCATGTACTTTCTAAGATGTTCGGTTGTGAAATTTTGAACCTCGTATAAAATTGCTTCATCTGGAACTGATAGATATGAAGCTTCATACAAGCTTAACATTCCCCATGTGTCCTCGCTTTGGCATGACTTAAAGCTCCATTCCTCCATAAAATTTTTAAACACTTCTGCAATTAACAGTTAACTTTTTATATAAAAATCAATTAACCTAAAACAAAATGAACATATAAATCAATAAAATAATTAAATTTTCATACTTATACCTTGCGAAACATAACACCCATATTGTCTGAGAAGTCGAAATTCAAGTGCAGCACCATATAAATCCTTTCTTATCAATGTCCCGTTATTGTAATAGTTGTCACTTACATACTTCATAGTTGAGCTTATTTCATTATCAAAGTGATAGGATATTCCAAGTCTCTGTATGGAGTCAATAAGATCCAACTTCTCTCCAACGTCTGCCATTTCTTTTAACATCATGCTGACTTCTAGAATCAGCTTATGAACTCGCGCATTATAAGAATCTCCCTACACATGCACACACACACACACAAAAAGACATTTAGTACCTATATTTATCTATTGAAAATTAACAAACTAAATATTTAAACATGTATGGTTAATTACCTTATAATCATTTGTCAATGACTGAATATAATCGTAATTCCAAATGCATGGCTGATAGTTTGCAGATCTTCTGAAAGAATTTGGTGGTTGGGGGTTGGAAATATCAATGGAATTGGTAATGGTGGAATGAAATGAACGAGAAATTATACGGTGACTAATGAATGAAGATGGAGTCAGAGGTGCGAAGAGTATTTTATAAGGTGATTTTGTTACAGGCAATTTAGAACGTAATAAGCGAAAACCCATAATATGAAAATGTTGTACGTAACTAATATTGGAGGCTTTGGTGGTTGGTTATTGAAGCCAAAACACACACACACACACACACACACATATATATATAGCTGGTAACTGTTTGTGCCTAATGTACATGAGCTTACTATATATAATTAATTATAATACTCATAATGAAACTTCATGCATTTTACTTTGTGCTTTCATATATATGCATTTTACTGTGTCCATCATATTCATTCATTAAAAGAGAGATTTTGAGAAAATCTTATAGGGGTATAAGTAAATAAGTTTTCTTTGCGTGTTTGAATCGTAATGTACACACACATAATTTCATTTACTTTATAAAAAGTCATATTATAATTAGTGTATGTATATAATATATTATGTAATTAATAAAAATTTACTTTATTAAACGAAAAAAAAAAAAACTGTATATATATTGTTCTCATTCTTGCAAGGTGTCCTGCATATTCATGCAACATCTAAACAAAATCTTAAATAAATGTACTTAGTTGTGCTTACGTCCAAAAAATAAAGTAA